GACCAGAGACTTCGATCTCTTGCAGACCGAAACTCTTCGTCCCAACCCGCGCAGGTATACCTCGAGGGAAAGAATCTAGCGAATCTGCGTGGCAGGTGGAATCTGCAGGTTCGGACCGTGGGCCATCTGTTGTGCACGCCACTTTAAGGAGTGGACGAAGAATGGCCCGTCCGGGTAACAGGTTGCCCGTAGCCCTCGCCGCTCCGAGATTGTTTCGTCGAGAGCCGCTCAAAGATCGTCCACGGGCTAATGAGTCATTCTGCCGCGACACTGGAACGCGCGAGCCGCACGATCCAAGCCGCACGATCGCGTGCTTTCTCTCTTCTTTCTTTCTTTTTTTCTTTTTTCTTCGACACTCGGGACGAGAGATGATGACTCGTCGATTTCTCAAATTAAGCGCTGACAGGCGTGCCCGATCCTTGAACTGGATCGTCGCCTCGGACGGAGGAACGGGTAATTCGGGGTGCGTCCGTGATCATCGGGTTATCACCGGGAGATCGCCGTGGCCCCGGCGACGAAGGAGAGATATCGGCGCTGTGCTGGCGCGCAGCTGGTTCGTATGAAAGATCGAGGATCTCGTGGACGTTGGCACAATGGGACACGTAGCACCACGGAGTAAAAGGGTTGCAAGAAGACGAGAGTCTTCCGGGAAGCGATGAAAGAGCCTGGATCCTCCGGTGATCAGGTGTGCCCGGTCTCGCCAGGGGACCAGTTTTATGCTCCGGGTCGGCGTGGCCTATGGCTTTTTTGCCCGTGGCCTTTGTCCCGCGATCGTCATTCACCTCCCATCCCCGAGCGATAACGCGGATTCCGAGCGCGGTAATTAAACGGCGAACGACCAGTTTGGAACGACAACAGAGTCGAAATTGCAATAAGTCTCTTCTGAATTTGAATCTCGATAGGAGGACGTGTCTCTTTACTTTAGTCTCTATTTCACAAGTACTTATCTATCTCACTTCTTTCCAAAGTTCTCTCTCTCGGTACGAAAGACTGCTCCTCGAGAATACCGAAAATCGCGCGATACGCGCGAACTTCTTTACATAATAGAGTCGAAAGTTTTCAACGTAATCGACACCGTGGTCGATCGCAGTGAAAGTGCGCAGAGAGCAGAGAAAAGCAGCGCGCGAGACAAGTCGTCGACCTGTGTGTGCCTCTTCCGAGAGGTAACACACGCTGGAGGAAAGAAAGGTCGGCCGGAACGACCCCGTTCTCTCTCCTTTGTGGACGAAAATCTCTGGCCTTTCGTTCGTCCACGAATCTGCAACGTTACGACCCTTTGTCGTGGCAGGCCGGCAGCTTCGCGTTACACACCGACCCCGTGCGCCCTTGCTTTTCTTCGCCCCGAGACTCTTCTGCACGCCATATTCCCGGCCATACACACACCGACGATGGAATAATGGAACCTCTTACCCGAGTGTATACACGCAGCGACCGGGCACCTGTTCGATCGGACCAGTCGCCATAAAAGCCCAGGGGCCAAGGTAGCTTTTGCTTCCACACTTTCTTGCACCGCCACGTACACACACATACACACACACGCGCGTGTATATAGGTACGAGACGGTACGAAGGGCCGTACTTGAAAGTAACGACCACCTGTCCGGCTGAACGAGAAATTTCCTGTCGATTCGGGCCCCCGTCATCCGGCGGCCACTCGCCGCGACCAGATTTCTTTACGGGAGAATCCGAGTCCGACCGATTTCTCGGCCGGTCTGTTTCGAACGTTGCTTCTGATTTCTATCTTTTCTTCTTTCTTTTCTTTTTTTTTTT